AGCTCACTACTTTCTTGGGCCACTTGACAATCTGTATGTCAATTTATGAATAGTCCCATTTTTAGAGCTCCTTAAGTAACATTTCTTTTGTTCAAGACTCATAGCAATGAAGCGTTAGCAGTATGATTTAGGGCTTTAAGAAAGGTGTTTTTTAAAGACTTCTGACCAGCAAACAAAGGATTTTCTGACGCTGCTATAAAGAGAAGTGGAATGTGTCCCAGTCCCAGCTATACAATAATATGAACTTAAATAATTGCTTGTCAATAAATTGAGTCTCTTCAGAATAAATCAAATATCACTTAAAGCCCTGTACACAGCTGCTATTGTGTTGTTGTTTTTACTTTCCTTGTGCATACAAAAAAGGTTCTTCCACTCATCATTTATAAGTCTCTATGCTTATTCTTGTTTGTTTGGGTTACATTACTTAGAAATGTATACAGAAGCAATTTTTATAGAAATACATACTCTCCTCATACAAAAACAAAACTAAAACACTGTTGTTAAGTATGGTGTCAGTTTTAATTAGATTTAAAGTGGGAGAGACAAGATGAACATTTGGTGCAACTGTCAAAACCAGGTGTACTGTAGATAACGACTACCTGATCCCCTTATTACTGTTTTGTGTAAACAGCTTGATAAGGAAAAAAACACAGGTCATCAGGTTTAGAGTACAATCCCTGTGTCAGACGAATGCTGGGAAACACGGGTTTAACATGGCTCCTTGATAAAAACAAAAACAGGTCTATTCAAGAGGATTTTACTCTCTTGGCTCTTATCATTCCCTTTATCACTATCGTTAGTGAGGAGTTGCTGATACGACTCTGTGTGATTAAACACCAGCCTCGGGTCTCAGTCTGCCCCTGCAGGAAGAAAGTGAGAGGTCGAGAGAGAAAGACTGATAGCACCGATTGTTTTAACTGTATATTTCTCTGCTGGAAGCCTGCTTCTTCTGCATGCTGGTTATACTTGTTCAGTATTCTGCAGCACTACTGGTAGTCTTTGTGAGATCAGTAAAGTAGCAAAACTAAACTACTATTACATCTACTGCTGCAGGCTACTAATTTAACAGGCACGTCTCTGTGGCTGTCTCTCTGCTCCTTCCTACTAAGCGTCTTAAGCTCTGATAGTTGCCAACCAGAGTCCCAAAACACTGGGAACACCTGCACACATGAATGCATGTGCCCGCAAATGATATAAAAGCAGCTGTATTTGACTTTAAACCAGAAGCAGGTCTGAATGGGGGTTAGGGAGGAGGAAGCATCCTGGTGGCAGTTTTTCAACCAGACCTCAACCTGCATCTGGGCAGGACAGACATTACAACACTGAGAAAAGTACCAGGCTGCCCTGAACATGCACAAACACAGACCCACTGATCATTTCAGCACACACCAAGACACCAAAGAGGAGAGAGAAAAAGTCTCTGTTTGCCTAATTTCCAATCTACTGCTGTGGTAGGATCTGTTACTGCTAATGTTTTATGTATTTAGCCATTATTATTATAATAGCTGAGCCTGAACAGTCCATTAAATTGTGTTTGGTTAGGCGAAGGGAGGGATGTAAACAAGAGGCTAAATAGTCTCAGCTAAAACAAAGACTGGAGAGTTTATTCAAGCTATGGGGTGAGTGCCATCTTGGATGTTAAGGGTTTAAAGGTTATGCAAGAGCTTTAGGCCAAGATTTTGGTTTTGAGGATTTGAGTTACACAATAAGACCAGCGGGCAGGTTTGGCGGTTATGTTTGGGGTCATGTCAAAGGGTCATGTTTAGATTTTGTTGACTATAGGAGGAAATGTGTAATGTGATGCGGTATTAGCGTCGGGGTCACGGATCTGACCCGGCCTGACCCATTCAGTCATCACACTCAGCCAAAGCCTCGCCAAGCTCAACAATGGGCATCGCTCAGTTCGTTCATCCACAAACTCACACGCCTTAAGGTACACTCCCTGCTAAGCATCAGGCATAACATGTACAAACTTGATATTTTCTCGTGTTAACCATTAACCACCTCAAGTACACACTCCAAACACATCCCTCACTCTGCACCGCAGTAGGTCATTCCTCCAGACAATGCCGAGCAAAAACATCCAAATCTCATCGCTTCGGATGTTTCTGCAAACTGAGTGATGTTCTCAGTTTATTTCCAAACGTTCCAGGTCTCAGAGTGGAAAAAAGGGGGAAAAGAAGAGGAGGAAGAGTGGGAGGAGGGAGAGAAAGATGAGAGCTTTGTCTTTGAGGTTGTTTGTGGAAAACGGACTGGCCTCATTACACACACTGATCGGGCCAAGGAAGATGGATCACGCAGAAAACCAAACAACAGTCACACACAGAAATGTACGGTGGCCCAGAGAGCTCAACACAACAACACACTGCAACTAAAGAAAATACATGAAAATAGACAAAGAAAACATCATCTTTGTCAAAGGCTGCAGAGTGAGACACAATGGGAATTAGTTTGAAAACAACAGGAACACTAAATATGGCAGGCCTATTCATCACATATTAGTGTCCCCTGGAAACTTCTCAGTTCTGTGCAGCGTTTCTGTATTTGGCTGTGTTTTCTCACTTTGCAACGTTTTGTTATTTTGATATTTTCTTTAGCCTTTGGTCTATTTGTGTGTGTTCTCTTACACTGCAGTTCACTGAGCTTTCAGGGCCCCTGTAGAAATGCATTCATTCTTGCCCTAACCGACAAACCCTGTGATACTGAAACATGCACTGTGAGTAATCTAAATACACACACACAGTTCACACACAAGCAGTCAATGAGTGTGTGTGGACCAGAACATTGCAGCTGACAGATGAAACACAGGTGAGCCCAGGGGAGTCTGGGTAAATATTTGTGCTGAGGCTGTCACACCCTCTTCCCTTGCAGGAAGCAGCGTGGGCAAAGGGATTACTGAAACGGAGGTTGCAGGACCAGCTCACATAGGACAGTGCTGATAATAGATGGGTCTTTGCGGTGCTTGTGCTGTCCAGCAGTTGTCCTCAGTATAGGTAAACCGTCATGTTAAGAGCTCTATTCATATAGATACAATTAGTGCAATCCATCCTCTGTGCACTCACTGGAACTGTCATTAAAGGGGTGAAGAAAGACTAAATGCATGTGTCTTTTTCCAAAGTACTGATGAGGAATTAGCTGTCCAGCCATACGAATTGTGGTGTTCCAGGGCTGGGTGGTCTGCTTCTCTAATGCCAATAGGTGGTCTGCAGAGCAGAGGGTTATTAAGTACAGCTCCTAAGCTCTGTTCAGTGTTTTCCTAACCTACTTTCGACATTGTTATCTCAGAGCTAAATCCCTCTACCTACCTTCCTCTCTCTCTCCCCCTTTTCCTCACCTTTGCATCCTGAAGAGGGGAGGAAAGGGAGGAGGAGCAGGACAGGGTGGGACATCAATCAGGGGTGACAGGCCTAAACCACAAAACTAACCCTCACTCCCCCTACTTACCCCGTCTTTTGGGAATATGAGTTTCCTGCTTTCTTTTGACAAGCGATTCCTCGAATGAACCTTTTTAACCCCAAATTACAGACACATACACATAGGAACACGCACACACAAACTGGCACATGAATCCACAGCCTAGAGTGGGGGAGGAAGCACTGCTAGAGGGAGGACATAGGAAAAGGTGAAAAAGCGCCAACACATGCATGCTCATACACACATGCAAAATACAAACATTTCCATACAGACATTTTATAATTTTCAGTCAATTTAAGTTGAACTGCAGAGCGCAGATGCAAAACACACATCACATGTGCGCACCATATTTTAGCAGAGACAATATGAATTTTGAGTTTCATAGAGAACCCAAAAGAACTGAATACAGAAACAAAGAGGAGGGAAAGAGAAAGGAGAGCAACCTTTGATACAAACCACTACACCCAATCTTTAACAAAGCCACTAAAGCACTGACTAGAGGCAATGTGTATCCTTCCAGTTCAAAGCAAACCTCACAAAAAGAGTGTATTTATCTGTGTGTGCATAAAAATGTCTAAAGTTTTTGAATGTGGGCCTGTGGCTGCAGCACAAAGGCACCGGTGTCGTGTAACTCGGCCAAACCCCGCCTGCAAGCGCAGGTGACCTTATTGTATTAGAGGTTCCCAGCAGGCAACGAGCAGTGTGTGTCACGTGCGTGAGAAATAATCACAAAGACCTCAAGGATGTGTGTTATCTGGTGATTTAAAGCCCCGTATACCTCCAGAGAAGACAGAAGGTCACGCAGGAGCTGGACTGAAAAACATTTATGACTTCACACTGCTGCTCGGACTTTAACTGGGTCAGCTGGCAAACATAGTTAGGACCTTCAAAGGTTTACAACTATATACTCCCATTTCTGCCTCCATTTATTTAATTAGAACAGTGGTGGTACAGTACATAAAATTGTCTAGTTTTTTAAACTTTAATGTTCTTTTTGATTGAATTTGGTCTCTTCTGGCTTCTAAAAATCATTCTGATATAAAACAACTGACAAATTCATCTTTTGGTTGCACTGGCCACAATAAGTGGTTACACACAACAAGTAAAGAGGGGTTTCTTTGTTTTAATGGGTCACAAGCCGAAAAGGTATAAAAACTTTACACGCAAAATGAGATTTGATAATTAAAAGTCACTGGTGGAAAGAAACTAAGCATTTACTTATTTATTTTTATTTTTTTGAGTACAGTTTGACCCCCAGGTTGGGAACCAGTGGACTAAACTATCTAACAGTGTATAAAGTAGTTAAATATAGCTGTAGCTATTAGGTGAAACTACAACAGTAAAATGCTGCGTACATTTTGATCCATCTGATAATGTCATACACAATAGGTACTAGGAGTACTTTTACTTTTGATATTTTAAGAATATTTGCCAATAAGACCTGCACTTTTATTTAAGTAATATTTTGAATGTGGGGCTTAAACTTGTACTGGTTCATTTACTTCTTCCACCACTAATCAAAATTGATTCTTCTGGAAACAATCAGGATTTCATTAAACATTTTAATATCCGTCCTGCCGAGAAGTCACATTTGGAGCTGATAAAATCTGCAAAAGCACAAATTTGATGTGCTGCCAATATGTAGGATCCTTCTGTTTCTAATTTATTAAACAAGTTGTGTTTAATTAACATATTATTGTGGTTGAGTGTTCCTTACCTCTACAATGCTACGCAGGTCCTGGACGTAGGTTCTCTCTGTGTCCAGTATCTCCTGCACCACCCGGTCCACATATGTCTTGGGTCCCTGCACCTGACCTGTCCGCTCTCCTCCTTCTGGGCTCAGCTCAAGCTCTGAACGTTCTGTCAGAGTCTGCACACTGCCCTGTCTCCCTTGTCCCCTCCCTTTGTCCATCCCTACATCCTTTCTGTCATCTTCCTCCCGGCATCCCAGCTGCCGGGCCGGGACCAGTTCCAGCCGAATAGCCCCGGAGTCCCGGTCTGAGGTCACCGGGTTACAGTGAGGGGCAGGGACAAGGGTGGAGCGGCTGCCCAGCGAGCAGTGACTGTCCCTGGAGGAAGCAGAGGACGAGGTGGAGCTGTAGCTGATCGGCCTTTCGGTGCTGTCGGGAGAGGAGTCCATGCTGAGGGCGGAGCAGTAGCGCGAGGAGGTGTGTCGGAAGGCTGGGTTGCGAAGGCAGCGGGCCGGTATGTCAACGGAGCTCAGGACTGAGCCGGAGTCCGGAATTTCAGGAAGAGGAGGCAAGGCATCAGGCAGGTAGTTATAATCGTCTAGAGAGGAAAAGGAGAGAAAGGAAGAGATTCTCGTCAGTCAATTTTATTTCAAATATGTGAATGCACCCACTACCTTCCTCATTCATTTCAATGAAACCACTGGGTTGTGAGGCTGCAGAGGGCTCCAGCAAAATATGAGTCTTGCAAAAAAGTTGTTCCTGGCACAAGCTGTGTGCAATGTCAATGTGCAAATGGTGGTGTGCCTTGCTGTAATTACCGTGTAAAATTGGTATAATTTACTGGTTACTTTGCATGCAATTATTGCTTGTTGCCAAGAGATCCTTTCAAAGTTGCACAATCTGGGCTTAAACTTGGATAAACTGTTGTATTCTGTCTTGGTTTTAAGTATAGCTTCTTAATGGACTTGTTTTGTATTTCCTCTAGTATCTGTACAAATCTATGGCAACACGCCCACAGCCATGCAGCCCCTTGTGTTGTTGTGCTGTAGTGCCATTGTTATGGTTATTGGTATGAATGTCCCCTGAACAATGGCTGTAAGTACTGCATTTTAAATATATGGGTGCCATATTAATCATGATGCCTGGGTATAATTACAGCAAACAAATAAGACCACGGTCTAGACAACTGGTATCTCTAATACACGCCATCAGAATTGCTGTCCTAGTGTTGCTAAATAAATGGTTGCATATGCATGTTGTTGCTGTCTGTTACAATGACGCTTCTACTTGATTTGGGCCTTTTAAAACTACCTTTTACAATAAACCTTTAACGTTTTTGCTTTTTTATGACCAGAAGAACTCATTACTATTTTAATTTTCACAACAAAAGACTCTCTTTAGATAAGACAAACAGGCAGACAATAAGTGTTATAAATCAAAGCAGACAGAACACAGAGTACAAATAGTACGTAAACTAAAATATTAATTAAGTGTAATAAGTTACTATTCACGTCAAAGAGTAAATCTTACTTATTTGCAGTAGTTAAATGACTCTCAAATTTAATGTCCTAATTATTGACTGATGCTGAAAAGTGACACACAGGGCAGTTAAAATTCAAATGAAATGCAAACATTCGACCGGCACTGACCCTGCATTTCACTCTCTCAAATTAGGTGCTAAAAGACTCACTGTATGTAACTTCTGACACTTACAATACCACTTTCATATAGTCTTACAGTCTCTATCTGTTTAGCATCCCAATTCCTGACATTCCAGCTGACCACAGTCTGACTGACCACCCGCCATATGAGGGACCACCAGCTCTCCAAGATTTGTCCTCAGTTCCACCCAAAGATACGTTTCATGTACAAGAAGCTGAACAGCGAGAGAAAACACACGTAGTTTTATAGAGTTTAACGATGAGATTAACAGTGTAATACTGAGAACCACTCCACACTGAGGCAATGAATGAAAGCCCTATTTCAGGGGACAGGTTTGTGTGTTGTGTGTGTGCAACTACAGGAGTCTATTTGGCGTCAAGCCGGTGCCAAACTGGCTCACAACCCTGTGTCTGTAGAGAGATCCGTTAGGATATGATTACCGACTCCCTGGGCCCCAGTCAGGCCAGCTGAAGTGAAACCACACATGCAGCGTATCAGACAGAAGCCTTCCAAGTTTCCCTCAACATACTACAAGGTCTTGCTTAGAAAGGCCAGCTCTTACAGGAAGAACAGGGAGCAAATAAAGCAAAACAGTAATGGAAGGACTACATGAGAGAGCCTCATACCAGCTCAGTGGGAGTTTGACACCAGTCTTTATCATCAAAGCTCGATACACCGGTGACCCGGATGCTCCGGTGTTGTGGCAACACTGAGATTCAATGCCCTATTGGACGGTGTCGTTCTCTCGCTGCCAGCAGCACCGGTTCAGCCTAAACCCGTCTCACTTCAAAGCTTCGAAGATCACAGACTCACGTTCAAAAACATGAAACGTGAAACTGAGAACAAGCACAAAGAATCCCAGTACATACCCACTCTCTCACCTTTCAAATAGGTACCTAGGAGGTCTTTTTGCAATGGTGACGCCTCTTTTGAGAGCACTTAAGCAGCGAGCATGCTTGTTAGACTGGTCTGTGATGCAAAGAACACAGGTTTGATACTGGCAATCACTACTGTACTGATACCAAGAAACTGACCCGGCACGATCCCACTCTACCTGGGACCGTATTTATGTATTTAGCAGCAAGTTTTAATTTTTGGCAGCTAGAGAGAGAGAGAGAACCAGTTTAAAACACCATAACTGACATATTATATCCTTATAAATTTGTTATGGCGAACATGTTATAATTGCCTATTTATACATGCAGCAGACATTTATTAGCATTCGTTAGGAGTTGTGTTTCTGACCACTTGATGAATGTTAAAGGAGTAGTTTAACATTTTGTGAAAAAAATACTTATTTGTTTTCTTACCAAGGGTTAGATGAGAAGTTTGACGCTGTCATGTCTGTGCTAGTACGGAGCTAGCCCCAAGTCATGTTTAAGCTTAGCTTAGCATCAAAGTTCTGAAGTTTAAAAGTATAACCACCTCTATAGCTCATCAAATAACATTTAAGTACACAAACAAAACTCTTAAGGGAGCTATGTATCAGCACTATTTCCTGGCTATTTATTAAGCTTTAAAGGTGCAGGCAGTCATTAACCTAATCACAGATTATTCTCCTCCTCTAACTCTTGACTAGAGAGCAAAGGAGCATATTGCCCAACATGTTGAATTGTTCTTTATTACTATAATATGCACTCTCCTTTTAGTTATGTTTTGTTTTCCATTAACTCCTGAGGGAAATATCTGGCTGTTTAGCAGCTAAAAACTGCAGTTTGACGCTGGCAGGTAGAGTACAGTTGGTTTATCATAGCTTTTCTGCTGCCTGTTACGTCTGGATACAAAGTTGATGAGAGAGGAGTATCTTATGCAAGTAAACCAAAATAATTAGCCAAAAGAGGCTTAAAATGTTTGTAAAGCTGATGGAACAGCAAAGGTTGGTTATAATTCCTTGTGGTTTTGGTCTCTACTACCTTTCATATTACAGTCCAAAAGTCATGTATAGCAGTTTGATAGATAAAAGTCCGTCCCGCTTCACTGAACCATCATGTTTTTCACAAGAAAATAAAATGAAGTAAATTCCTGGTTACATTGTTCCTAACAATAAAACTGAAAGGTTTTGAAAAACATGTCTCATAAAACAAGAGCGAAGGCACAGTCTGATGCACTGAATCACAGCTTTCTCTAGTTTTAATTTTGCTCCACTGCCGTGCCAAGAAAAGCAGGAAGGAATTGGAGCGTCCAAAAACTGAAGTGGCATGAAAGTGTATTTTCCTCAGACAAGTTTGGAGCTGATTTACCATGCTTGTGTCCATCCAAATGTTTGCTCTCCAGAGCCTGACCCACTTTTTAACAATTACAGATCAGACAGGAGAAGGAATCTGGCAGGCAAAAACAACACACACACACACACACGCACATAAACTAACAGCCTTGGTTTTTTGATAAGCAACACACTGCTTTCAAGTTACCGTACACAATGCACAAAGGGTTATATTATATTACATACCATGACATTAATAGGTAACTGACTATTTGACAAATCTATGATATATACTTCCTTATCACAGTAGGTGATGTATGTAAATCTATGCTGTGTGTGTATGTTTCACACAAAATGCATTAAGTTTATCACCCCAAAGATAACACTAACTGAGCTAATAACTTAATGGTCCTCACACCAGCTATTGCAGAAAGATATGAGCGGCCAGAGTATGCACACGTGCAACATGCACACACAGACGGACAGACACTCACAAACATACAAGGAGAGCAAATACAGAGAAGCCATGTGTTTCCGCTGCAGTAAAACCCAAACATCACAGAGAAAGATTGCTCCATCGTGTGTTTGCCCAGCCCCTCCTTCCCACCTTCCAGCTTCATGTTTGGGGCACACCCTGGCCGTTTCCTGGGTGAACTGGCCCTTGTGCGCACACACACATACACAGAGTGAAGATGGCCAAGCTTTAGTTACCTCCTGTCCAGATTATGTCCAACCTGATCCTTGTAAATGATCTCTAATTATGGTCCTAAGCATGCAGGTTGGGACTGTTTCTCCTCTGTATGTATGTGTGTGAGTGTGTGTGTGTGTGTGTCCATGCATGCAAGGATTAGGATAGTGTGTGAGGGCTGTGTTTCCTGCCAGACTAGAGAGGGAGTGAATCAGCGAGTGCCTGAACAACCTGGCTTCAATCTCTGGTTTTCATTTAACTTGAAAAAGACAAAGAGCTGGGGCGCTTTAGTATTCAGCCAAGTTTAATATGTTGGACATTGGGTCTGTCTGGAAGGCAAACAGGGAGAACCGGGAGGAACCAGACTGAGGACTGGGCAGACAAATGTAAATAGAGGGTACGAAACGAAAGGAAAACAAAATACTAAGAGTCAAATGGTGTTTTACTCTTTTGGAGAGTGCAGGAGTTCTAACAAGTAAACTCTTCGGATTCATTTTTAGATTAAAAAATACCTGTGAATGTTTGTTTGTTTTGATAATTAAATATATGGTGACAAATGAAATAAGAATCTGGGCTGAAACTAGATCTTTAAAGTAGAAATACTTACAGTAAATACTCAAATAGTTTCATGGAGTTTCATTTTCAGAAGCTCATCTGGTTTATATCTACATTTTTCTTCTTTTGATTACTGGAAGTATTTTTAGAGCTTGACAAAGCCTAATTTACGGTAAAATGCAGTGATATTCTTGCAACAGGAAATACATCAATTTCGAATGCTCAGGAATATAAAAACTGAGAGAAAATGTTTTAGATTGAAAGTGAAAGATTGGAAATTCTCAACCTTTTGACCAAACAATCTCACCACAAACTTTCTCGGCTGATGAAGTAGCCTGGTTGCCATGCAAACACAGATGTTTAATTTCCAACTGTTGTGATACAATTAAAAGCCTCAGAACAGCCACTAAAAAGGACGTTGTGGTGAGATTGTTTTTCCAAATGAGGGAAAATTGGGTTTAAAACATTCTGCTTTTTTGCTTGTTTTTATATATTGAATCTTTCATCGTTTACTTCCTCAACAATAAAAGCAAGAGGCACTTGAACCACCTTGGGTAAATAGCTAACAATGAACTGCCAAACACCTATATATCAAATGTCAAAACACTGTGTAATCAAAGCATTAAAGGTTCATTCATACATGTGGACGTATACGACAAACCACTACGGCTGAGAGTTGATAGCTTCCCTCCATCGATGCAGTCAGTCTCAAGCCCTCAGTACCTGTCCAGCCAAGTTTAATGACTCTTGCTACACTTAACCCGTCCACTTCAGCCGCACACTTTTTGGTCACCTGAAGTGCTCTTTATTCTGGAGTGGTCAGCAAACAGCTGTGAGCACCCTCGTCTCTTTACGGCCCTGATGATCCTCACAAGTAGCTCAGACCGCACAAACAGCTCTCTGAGTGTTCTGTAATGGGCACGTGAACGTCCTATGTGGACATTAAAACTATAAACAAGTTCAAAATATTTCAAAGTATTATGTCATATGCAGATTCTGGATACAGAACGGCTTCAAAAAACTTCCCTGCGTATATTTTAAGTTGCGGGGTGTCCCTAATCACTGGGTTTAAAACAAGTGTAATAAACTGACAATGTGTAGTATGCTGGTTCCAGCAACAAAGCCTACATGCAACTACCAGGGAGTATCCCTAAAAGCACAGCTCAGGAAAATCAAAGTGGGGATTTCATATTGAAAAGTCTCCAACTTTGGAAAATGCCCACATGGTTTGGCTAGCTCTACAGGCTCACATTTGGCTGAATTTTAGAAGGCATGTTTGCACAGAGTGAGGACTGTGTATTACATGGGGAGGGGGGCATTTCAGGGTCAATTTGGAGAATACGAATGATTAGTGACCTATAGTAGGCCATGCTGAGTTCAAAGACCACAGACTTGCATGCAGTTGTACTTTATGCTACACTGGCTTTATGCATGTATGCGTGAAGTCCATGCAGCCATATGTTTTGGGTTGCATTGGGATTATGGACAAACTCTAGGTATGTGTCTTTAACTCTTTGGGACTTCCGTTAAACTTTTAATGAAATCACCAGGAAATTATGGGATTCCAAACACAAAAACTGTGGAAGGAGTATTTACAAAGGTACTGGAGGGGATGCAAAGCAAATTTGTATGGTGCCTTCATGTAGAGTTCAACGTCGGTGATCTTTGCCCTTTTGACCATCTGCTAACCTTCTTCACACTGCTGACAGTGAGGAAATAAACAGAACTGCAGGGTCAAAAATAAGGAAGTTGTAGTTGTTTTACATCATCCAATTTTATATAGCTCCACTCTGGCGAATGAGAAACAACACCAATGGAGCTTTTACTCTTCACATCCATTCTGCCACAAACAAAACTAACCACAACCAAAGGTAGCCACTGCACAATCCATAAGTAGTCAATACTTTATCAAGCCTCCAAACCACTTTGTGGGGATGCACACATGAAGTTATATTTATAACATTTATAACACGACATCTGTGAGGAGAGATCAGGATAACAGAGCATTGATGTCACATGCATCACATTTTAATGCCAATTTCTTTATCTCTTCCTGCCATTCTTTTCTTCCCTCTTCTTATTATACATTCAAACTCGGAATATGTTTGGCAGCTCATAAAGTAATTCCAAGTTCGCTGTGTGCATATGAGCTCCACAGGACATTCCTACAGGCTCAGACCATCCCTCTCCAAGCATATACTTTACAATGTAAAAATACACATTGACCGGCCTGTGTGTATGGCTACAGACCACCAGGGCTCATATTTGCATTCGGAGCACATGTGTTCATAACACTCCCTATTCACACTCAAATTACTGAGTCTCATCTGTAGGGACCATCTAACATGATATCACAAAGGGCGTTGTGTCTCATTACTTTTAAATCTTATACATTGTTTGAAACTTTTAATTTACCTTAATTGTTACCTGAAAGACTAAGAGAGCTAAGTGCTAAGACACCTACAACATCACATCTAAGTACTACTTAGAATAGTTTGAATAAAACAGCTGTGAATTTATCTGGAAATGACCAAAAAGACTAGAGCTTTTGTCCCAGAGAGGAGTCAGTTAACCAGACGGACCCTGACCACACACTTCGTACAGCTCACAGATCCTTTAATCAACCTTGTTTGTCCGTGTGTGTTCTTGTTTATGCTGCAACAGGCCTACCAGATGGCAACTGAGTTCAATGCCATACAGCTAGTTGCTGACTTCACAGTCCTAGTGCCTTTAAGATGTAACTGAATCCAGGGGGTGTTTTGATGGCAATAAGAATGAGAAAATATGTTTTTATGCAAGTACAAGTTGAAAGTGAAGGCATTTTAGCTTTCAGCTTTCAGCATCATGGTTTAAAAAGACGACATAGTGGGGAAACATGGGGAGAGGAGGACATGTGTGACTGCAAGAGAGTGAGAAATGAGGAGGAGAGGACCCAAAGGAATGGATGTAGGAAGAAGAGATGAGAAGAAAGGCCAAAGTTGAAACGCCACCCACCCTCCTTGCTTTTTCTCTTTTCAATTTCCCACTCGCTCATTTTGAATCCCGCCTTTTGTAGTAACTTTAACCCTTAAAACTTCTCTCTGTCTCAAACCCATCTACCAGTTTATCTCCTTCATCAGCACCTTCATCCTTCAAAGCATCAAATCCAAACTTCGGAGCACTTTAAGTTCCCTGCGGGCCAAGCGTAAGACCAGCAGCACAATGAAGCATCTAAGCCCTTGCTGTCTGTTTAGTTACGGCCTCACATCTTCCGCCGCGTCCACTTAAGGTCAGTCTCCGTTTCTGATAGAGACGCAGGCTTGATCTCAACTGACGCTAAGGACCTTAAAGTGTCACTCAGGATTTCACACCGCAGCCGACTGACTGCGGAGGAGCAGAGGCAGGAGAGGAGAGAGGGCAGAGGTGGGAGAGACGGAGAGAGGCCAAGGATGGGATTTGAGACTGGGGGCGGGATTTCCCTTGAGCAACTTATCACTGGACCAACAAAGAGCTGCACAGTCCGGGGACATACATTATAATGCAGATGTTTCGGAGGACGGATGGAGAAAGAAAAGCAAAAAATTGAGGAGAAAATAAGCATTCCTTCTTTACTGCGTTGCCGCCGAACGAGCTCAAGACAGTATTTCAAACATCTCAACACACGTCATGACGGGTAAAGACAGAAGTTTAAACTTGATGTGCGACTTAATAGACTCCTGTGGCTTTCACTGCCCCACAAAACACGGTTAAAGTAAACACACACACAGCCGGGAGGCTAATTAGCAACAACTGGCTTTTTATCATGATATAGTAAAAACCAGAGAAACAATTAAACATCCACCATACACAGGTGCAAGCACGTGTTTTATATACACAGATTATTACCCTCTTATGTTCAGGCTGTGTTTATGGGATTTGAGTTGAAGCCTCTAGTAGAGAATTTCTGTTTGTCATCAACAGGGTGGACATCAGTGAGGAATGTACAGCATACTTGTAGCTGACAGCACCGGTGTTTAGCCTCTGTGGGAAGAAAATGTCCACCCGCATTTTCAGACACTCTCACACACCCACCCTTGGGACACCCAGGCGACCCTTGCTGCACACACCCTTGCCCTCCCTCTGAGTGTGACACACTAGCCTCATTCTCTGGATTTCAGCCGAGAGGAAAAGCTTGCCATTGGACTCTGCATCCTCCCCAGTCACTCTATGAAGGCGTTAGTCCTACAGCTCCTACACACACACACACTTGGGTGGACACTGGAGCATGATATTGGAAAACTATTGATTTGTTTTCTATATTAGACAGATTACTCCAAAGGGACCTGACCCCCCCCCCCCTTACTCAGCACCCTGCTTTACCATCACCAGGGCGGCAGTTCCTTGCACGTGAGTGCTCAGGATGGGGGGCAGATGTCCGCCACCTCCCCAGAGGACTCGGCTAGCAGGGTGGGAGGAGGAGGACGGAGGGGTCCATTGTCTCCGGCACCTCTAAACCAAAGAGTTTGCTCTAAACAGTAATTATTCCCCCCTCCTCTTCTCTGTTCTGCACTCCTCTATCCCCATTTGTAGCCAACCCCCAACTGCTGCCCTCAAGGCTCTAATTTGGGTCACAGGCTGCAGAATGGCATCTCAGTCAAACCTACACCCAGCAAGAGGGAACTGACATATGTCAGAGATAGAAGACAAAAGTACAATCGAGATATAAGTCTATATTATTTGCTATTTTCTTCATGATCATGTACAAGTAAAAGGAGATGCTCTGTGTCATGTTTAGCTACTTGTGAGATTCTTCTTGCAGTCCCTGAGAGGATAAACACAAACATACCATAGGTCTTTTAGTTTTCTGCAGTGTCTGCATTTAAATTACTACCATCAAAAGGATAATTTATAACCAACAGGATCGTGAAAGATCAGCAGAAAGCTGTGTACACCGTCATCTTTGCATCATTAGGAACTTAACCCGCAACGCCTGCGAGAAAGCAAACATGCTCCATTCAACACCAGGGGTGAGAAAACAACCAGAGGACGCTGTTCACACAACTGTACTGCTGAGAGACGGACGCTGCAGAGACACTTCACACAGCGCTGTCAGGAAAAAATATCACACACACCACACAAAAGAGCCACTAAGACAAACCATAAATGCACCATCAATGCATAGTAAACAGGCCTTGTATTTTAAAGTTGCTGTTGGAAGGTTGACCAGATGCCACTTGAAAAGAAACACTTTTTATACATGATATCTTATTCTGATTGCTCAAACAAATATTCAGCACTGGGTTCAATAGACTCTTCATCTCACCAAACACACATATAAAAAAAACAGGAAATTGTTCTACATTAATATGATTTCAGCCTGTTGGATGGGGTTTGTCGACATGCAACACCTTTGACAGCAATATGTGGTCCCCCCCACATCACAGAATTGCCTCTGGAAAAACTTGAACATGCTGGGAAATATATTGAATATGTTTGAAAAAAGAGACAGCTCCTGCTTACCGGTAGGCATTGTGGCTTGGTTCCCCTTCAACAGAAGTAAATGAGGCTGAGTGTTTTTTTTGTTTTGTTTTTTAAATGAGGCACAGGTTTAAAAGGAACACAGGATTTCCCTCAAGCAGGTCACATATCCAGAGTATTCCAAACAGTATTCCCAGCAAAGCCTGGAAAAGATTCCCTTAGATTTCCCGAATTCTCCCAGTCATTGTGAATCCTTTCTCCTGGGGGAGCAAACATGCAGGTCCGCTCCTCCAAAATATACACAGGAGCATATACTCAGAGGCTGTGTTTTCTCCTGAACACACGCACACATACACACCAACACACTCCTCTGGCTTTTCTCTCACTTTAGTTTGCTGAGGATCTCCTCTGTCTGCTCCTCTTTCCGAATGCCTCTCTCCCTCCCTCTCTCCTGTGGCAACACATCTACTGACTGCATGTGTGTGTGTGTGTCTAAAAGTGTTCATGTGTGTGTTTGCATGTGAGTGTGTGTGTCAGAGTGAATGGCCTCTGCTCTCTACTGCTCCCTCCCTGCTGGGTATTCCCCTCCCCCTGGCTCCTCCTCCCTCTCTCCCGCAGCAAATTACAAGGAGCTGGGAGTTCCACATTAAGTGCCTCCTCTACTTTTTCCTCTCTTTCTTTCCCTTCTTTTATCTTTTTCTCCCTCTCTCATTTCTGCCTCTTCTTCCCTCCTTCCAAAATCAAACTTTTTGCTCTGTCCCATAATGCCTGTAGGACTGGCGACACCTTTTGTGTGTGTTCGTCTGCTGCACGCTCAGCAGGCAGCTGAACTGCTGCTGTTTAGCGCACAGCTCCAGAGATCACACACGTACACACACTTTACAAGGAAGAGAGAGAGGGAGGGTTTTTTTTTTAGGCTGATCAATAGGCTGGGAGCCAGCTCGAACAAAAGCTCCTCATCCACTGCAAGACATGGCACCGCTCATTGTGTCCCAGATCAGAGGAAGGCTGGACTGAAATGAGCGCACAAAATGTCAGAAGTGGGATTCAAGACGTATATGAACATCAGTAAAAATGTGGTTCTGAGCCTTTTTAACCTTTGATCCCTTAAATGACTTATAAGGCCGGTTATCCTCGGTTATCCCCTACTTTGGGGAACTCATTTTGAACATGTTTTTCCTACTTCTTTCCTTTGACATGCCAAACTTAGTGCACCTGTGTGTAAAGGCCACCAATGTTACAAATTAAGTTCAACAGTTGTGACAGTGCTTTCTGTGGCTCTGGGGGAGCTTTACAAAATTACAAAATGGAGGTGTGGGGGCATTTAGGAGCCGAAGGAGGGTTTAATTAAAGACACCGAGTTGCATTGTGGTAATTGTAGGATGGTTTTAGGAGCTTGATTCATAGGGGGAGTTAAAGTCAAGATGTCTCAGCCTCTGCACTTTCAATTGTGACCTTGTCTTTAATTTTAATCCGTCTCTCACATTTCCCCAAACTAGGGCTATGACCAGTTGAATCGACAAGTGATTTTTGTTTTCCTTGTTATAATCAAATACTTTTTATTGGCCTAAAGAACTAAAAGGAGCAGATTTATGACCTTTATATTCTTAATTTAGGACCCCTCAGATCTTGTGACCCCTCAAGTGTGTGGTGATCCTCTGGCTGGGCACCACAGCCCTATGGTGTATAATTTCTGAAAGCAATTATAGTTCAGGACAGGCCATGTGTCCCATAAGGCAGACACACGTGAGACAATAGGCACTCAGTCTAACGCACTAAAGCAAATGTGTCGACTATTTGTCGTCCCTCTTTAAAGACAGGGACTGGTCCCAGCAGCATGGGGTCCTGCTAACACCACCCCCTTCTCCACACCAATACAATAATAGAGACCCCCTGGACTACCCTCTCACACACACACACATACA